TGTCAATTGCTACGAATTTCGAGATTGCTACAACCTTCTCTCACAGAGTTATTCAAGTTTGAATACGGGAGTATCTGAGCGAGCATTTAAGATCTAATAATTCGACGCATGAAGATCTGAGTAATCTCGGGAAGGTTACATTTTGATGGAAAATCATATCTCTACCACTGTGGATAGTTTTCGTGGAAAACCAGGTTTTCAAAGATCCGCTGGAGATCTTGATCTCAAAAAAGCGACTGGTACTTTGCAGCTGAAGTGACGGCGAAGCCGACAGCATAAAAATCTTGGCTACATCTCTTAACAAAAGAAACTAGATAGATTTGCAAAATGATTCAGTAGCACCTTCGAGCGTTTGCTCCCGATTAACGCACCCCAATTCTGTTTCATGTCCTAGAAATTACAAACATAGCTCTTTCGATTCAGCTTTTGATGCTAAATTCGAAAAAATCAATTTCGACCTCTCAAAATACTCCTGAAGCTCAGAAATTGGATTTGTTTGAAAATTAGATGTTTTTTCAAAAATTGGCTCTCTTCAAAACTTTTCAATTTTCTCTCACAAAAAACTTTTTGGAATGCTTAAAAACACATTTTCCTAACCATCTCGATCTGCTCTATCCAACCATGTATAATAAACAGAAAATAAAATCTGCTCTAATTTTGAATCAACGGTATCTTATGCCAAAAGAAGAATGACGAATCAGACAACAACGTTGATTAACACACATATTTTCCTATTCATTGAAGAAAAAATATTTTTCCTACATAAACTTGGATTGAAATGTGGTTTTAAAAGGAACAGCGATGTTTGGTAAACAATGTCTTCTCAATTCGAACAAATCTCTTGTTTTTCATTCCTTCGCTTACTCTTATTAGTGAAGGTGAGTATAAAAAAGAAATATATATCTGCACGTGTTGTGGCGAAAAGGAAGGTGAAGAAACTCATCGTATTAAAACATTTGTAAAAACAGCGAAAATATTGAATGTCCACAGACACAGCAGTTTTGTTCGTTATATTTGAAGACATTGTATAATATAAAACTTCAACTTTTTAATCGTTTTCGTTTTGATGGTTGTAATACACTGCTGGAAAATAAAAAATTTCCGTTCATCGTGTGTTAACTACTTTTGAAATGTTAAAAGAACCTACATTTGATCATTGAATTCAATCGGCCGTGTTTGTTTCGATAATCGTCCTATATAGATTAAATCAAACGATTCAAAAAATGTTTAGTCAAGATACTCAGAAGCCCTCAAAATATTTTTCTTATTAAAGATTTTCTTTAAAATTTTGAGAACCGAATTTCATGAAATTTTCTTCATCCGTTTCATGCTCTCGTGTAGTGAAATGTATAGCAAAAACATACTTCTTGGCATCATTTTTTCTGAGATACAATGACTATCCCAAATCATTGCATTATTTTGAACGAGGGCAACGAATAAATATACGTGCTGTCGATCAACGACACCTTGATTTTTTATATCCAATACTAAAAAATAAGACATTATGAGACTGCCATTATTATGACAGAGACGGAATTAGAAGTATAATATTACCTGATCCTGTCTGTTCTTTTTGTGATTTATTTAAATCATAATCAGAAGTTAATTTTAATACAGTTTTTTGTAATTGATATGGACGTTTATTATCTGTAATAAGTGCCAGTTTCAACCTGCAAAAATCGCAATCAGTAACCATCTGTGATTAGTTTGTTACCACTCACTCAATTTCATCATTAATCATATTTTTTTCGTTTATTATAATAAAACTAGGATTTGTAGCCGGATGTCGAGGATCGAGAATCTGATTTAAAAATTTGTGAAATGGTGATAAATAATATACAATCTCATTATCAACATTGACTTTCATAACAGCAAACATAATCAGTCGATAATTACTAGTATTATCTGTTGAAATTAGGTTTTTGATATTTTCAGATATCTAAGTATAGAAAAAGTATGCTGCTATACCGAGACTTTATTAATTTTGCTCTTACTCGAATTTTCGGATATACTTTTTCACCAGCACGAACTTTATATTTTGCTTTAATATAAGTTGGATATTTATAACCGTGCTGTCTAAATTATTGAAAGGCAATCGTTTTTCTAACTTTTCTAGTAAAATTTTGTTGTTATCCATACGGTGCTTCTTTTGGATTTACTGGATAAATATCACTTTCATACTGTAGGCGTTGCTCATACGCAACATTATTTTCGAATGATAAAGGAGTCATTTGTACTGCTAAATTATAACAAGAAAAGGCTTGTAAGGACAAAATTTTTATTCTTTTGAGCAGGTTTTGACTAATAATAAATAGAGAAGCCTACAGGTTGCCAAGATCAGACTGAATGCTTTTTTGTACTAAAACATCGTGGTACCTCGCTGGCATTTTTTGATAGCACTAATATTTAAAATATTTACACAATTTGTACTTCAGGATCTATATTATATAATCAAATGTTACCTGTTGATCTAGTTAAGTTTGAAATCTCTACCTATCACGCATAATCATGAATAAGGAAGACTTTCAGTTTTTTGAAGAACAATAAGAAATGCTTACGTTTGTTGTTAAAGCTGCAATTATTTGTAACTATAGTTGTATTAGAACCATAATCAATGTTCTTTGAAATTGGATGTATTTCTTGGGAATTGAACAATTGATCGAATTGATCATCATTATTTGACGTCTTATCTAGCAGTTCTTTTAGCTTATTTGTCTCATTATAGTCTGAAAAAGGAGATAAGATTAGGATGCGAGTTTTTTGAGTGATTAGAATAAAAATTTTGCTGTACCAATTGATTGTGCCATCGAGTCTTGAAGAAGCTTAATTATATCGTGTGGTGACGTGAGTAAATCTGTACAGAAATAATGTGTGTGTATTCAACTTACGAAGGAGAGTATATAGTGGAAAAAAAGAAATGCTTGCCTCTGAGATCTTCGTTTGCTGGAGTGGTGGTTGTTATAAACGACTGAAGTGGATTTACTGAAGTACCGCAACAATTGTTGTCCATTGATAATGACTGATCCATTTGCAGTTCTGCAACTAAATTTACATTATCAAAATTAAAAAATATCTGTAGATCAAAGTATACCGTTTTGTTTTTGATTTTCATCGTAATAATTTGGTGTAATCCATGTGTGTTCCGAGCATAATTGCTCAGTCACATTTTCTTCTCTAGCACGGCTGACATAAGTTTTTATTTTTGTTACTCTATTCGTGTTTTGTTTCGCTACTGTTGATACATTTGCTTCACCTATAATGAAATAAAAATACGAATACTGTTACGATAGTGAGTAGCTCATTAGAAAATATCTGGTCAAGTTCATCTGATCCGTTTCCAGGTTCTGACAATGCAGTGGTAAATATGACGATTAGAGATAGTTTCACACTGAGCAATAGTTGGCTCAACTGTTCACATGACAAAGGTAAGATTTTTCAAAATTAAGTAAAGCCTTCCTTTACTCTACAATTTCCCCAAACAGAGCCCTACGACTTCAAACCACAATTATCCTATCGGATCCGAATGCAAGAAAATGCAAGGGCTCCAGAACTGGCCTAAGACTTAAAGTTTTTCAAAATTCTTCTATACAAAAATGAACCGAAAACTGTGTTTTAAGTTGACGCGAACTCGAGGCGGTCTGCTTCTATGTGATAAGTAATACTGACAGTAACGAACAATAAAGGATGTGTGCATGTAGTTCGAAAAAAACCATTCATAATTCAGATGAAGTTCAACGGAACGTTAACGGAATAAAAAGCTATATCCGAAAAAAGTAGAAAATCTGATAATACTTGACTTTCCTTCTGTTTAATCCTAAACTCTAACTGTAGAATGAAAAACAAAATATATTTACCAAAGTAGCCGCTTGACTGCTGCTGCTGTTCAGACGAACCCCTTTTCATAACTATTTCAAATTTCAGCGGTTTTGGTATAGCCGAATGGAATGGAGAAAAATATATTCTTTTAATTTTATCAAACGACTCATCGTCCAAATCAACATAATCCTTATGTTCTTCATCAAACCATCGAATAAAATCAACATTTTTATCATTACCATGCAAACCATAGCGTTGTTTCAATCGTCCAGCTAACGAATCCAGGGTATCATGGTGATGAATAAATGACTCCCGACGATGTTGTCCTAATATTAACAATATTGCAATAGTCAACATTCTTTCTTTCTTGACTAACCATATATTTTCTCTTGATCAAAGAGATATTCTCACTTACTTACCAGCAATTTATATGCCTCTACTTTTCTTCTTCCACTTGGCTGTTTCCAACTTACCTGTACAATTGGAAAAAGCAAAGTGAGTCATATTTGTTTTTTTTGTTTCATTTCCACTTGGAGCTTTTGTTTATAATATTTACTTGGAAAAAACCGGCCACTCTCTACTCTACTTGGAAAAAGCAAACTAAATAGAGTCATACATACTATATAAATCTCCGTGATAATGAATATGAGTAATTATCTGTTTTTTCGGTTGTTGATATGGATAGTATAGATGTACTTTTAATACTGATTTATTTTAATTATCAACTGAAATTTATCCCTTTGCAGAGAATTTTTACGTATGAGGAGTTTATACAATCATTAGAAAATATATTTCGTATTGATTTGGTCAAAAAGTATACAATACAGTTGTTTGATGATTACTTTAACGACTACGTGGATTTAGATGAAGTGTATTTTGGTACAATTAAAAACCGTCTGTTCTCATTAGCATCAGTGACACAAAAATTATCGATTAATATTTCATTTAAAGTAATTAGAAATATCGTCGATAGTTATAAGAAAACCTGCTGCGGGCGGGAAGAATCGGACAGTAGTAATCATGATGATGACGGAAAGGCGGGAGGAGACAAGAGCGAGAAAGGTGTTTGGAGGGACACTTATGGAATAATGGTGGAAGAAATAATTGGAATCAATGGCCGTTGGTTTTGTCTTGATCAAGGTTGGATTCCCAATGATGGCTTCGATTGGACAAGAGTTGATGCAGGTGATTGATTACCACAGTTTGTTGAAACCAGATGCTTACGTGTTAGTTAGCAGTCAAATAGATTCACGTATATATGAACGCACATTACCTAACTGAGATAATAACAGCAGCTATTTTTAATTCCATTATTCAATTTTTAATAAAAAATTGAATAATGGAATTAAAAAGAGCTGCTGTTATTATCCCTATAGTTTTAAAATTTTTACCCGTTAATAAGCATAACATTACCTAACTGAATTTAGCAGCTCATTTGTTCTTTTGCTGCTTATGCTTAACATCCCTACCCGGCGAGATTCGCCCTCGAATCTTTTTACATTTTGAACAATGAAGTTAAGATTAACTTTGATCAGTCTAAACCTTATGACAGATAAAATAATTTGAAATTTTGGTTATTCTAAGAAATAGGATAGATAAGAAATTTTATAACTAAGACACATTCGCGCGGATGAAATTCGACGATGAGTAAAAATATTGAATCTTAGCTCTAAATCTAAATAATCGAGATCATGAGTGACAATTTAATTCAGCCATTAACGTGTTTAAAACTGACGGATCCAAAAACATTAGACAGCAAACATCGTACACGGGGACGAAGAGGGCGACGATTATCGCGAAAACTGCCAAGCAAAATCGGGCGATTAGTGCTGAATGAGAAGGTGATGCCAAATCCGGCCAGCAGCTCCACGACCGAACACGTGCGGTCAGCACCGATCGACTCAGACAGCGAAACAACGGGACCTGCAGATTGAGGCTGCGTCAACCATCCAACCATTGCACAACTTCAATAATTGTGCAGAATATAGGATAGAACGGCGAAGTTGATTTTTGCAGTTCGTCTGCAAAGACCAAGTTCGTGTGTTCGATCCTAGCTTCGTGCAAGGATTGATTTTGTGTTTTGATAGTTTAAGTTTCAGAATGATATAATGGGAATTTATATTCTCGATTTCGTTTTGGTTCAAGATTAAAGCTTAAACCAACCATCCAACCGATCGCCCCCAGCGGCGCACCTGCAGCTCTCCTGGTAGGTGATTCGATTGTGGCGCGCGCCAGAGATCTGTTTAGTTGCAAGTCGTCCCGGCGCCTGAAGATCGACGCAGTGGGCGGACGCAGGTTGTCCGATCTGAAGAGAATGTTGCTGGAGAAGGCAATTGATGTTGCAAGATTTGGCCGAATTATTATCTGTCTCGGCACCAATGATTTACTTGAACGATCGGCAATGGCTATGATAGCCATTGTCGAAGAGATTGTTATCTTATTACG